AGACTTTAAGTTTAAAATATCTTGACATTCTTTCATTAAAAGTTATAAAAATAATTGTTCTTTCTAGGTTTACTTGCACTTCTAAATTGGGGTTGAAATGTGAAAAGAGCTTTCACAAGTATATGCTGATTTATAGAAAAACAAATTGGAAAATGATAGTGAGGTTGTAATGTCCATAAAGATGAAGACTCCTCCTAAGAAATTTATGAACCTTGAGTGAGGCTGAGATCCCCTAGTTGCTTGATATAAAAATACTACAATTATTTATATATACATTCCCCCCACCTCTCACCCTTACCTAAAGCATCATAAATCTAGTGTTGTAACATCAAAGTCAAAATTTTAGCACTTTAGATGACAGATTATGGTGTTATTTTCCATTTGGCAAGGGATATATTCCTGAGCAGCTTTTGATATGTGTTAAGGACCAACCTTCATGATACCATCCTCTACCCTGTGTGGCACTGCTTCTAGATTCCATGGGTCTTGGTGCAGTTATGTTCATGCATCATAGTTCTAGAACCCTAGTTTCTCAGTTCTACCTAACACCATCAGTAGCTTGATTTATTCCGATAGTAGTTATTTAACACCCATTCCTCACAAAGAAAATCTGGATTGCTTACTAAGGCTATAAATGGCTGAGACTTTCTCTAATTTAGATTGTAAGTTTCTGGGTTTTCATTCAGAGTCACAAAAGATAGATATTTAAAGAAAATCAGAAACACCTGTCCAAGTGTTCATAGTAACTTCAGGGGTTTTTTTATTGGACTTCATTGGTTATTTCAAATATTCTAAAATGGCCTATGTGCTTAGACCCCAAAGATGTGTTTCTTTCAGCAATACCCTGCTCCTATGTTGAAACCAAATAGTTTTAGAAAAGGTGGGCTTAAATAACCTAATTTTGGTCCTTCCACTAGGGGGCAGAATGCTGGGAGAGGAGGGATAAAGGATGATTAACTCTGTTTAACCTTACGGCTTAGTGTCTGAGAAGCATCTAAATAAAGAAAGTAATAAAACAAAATGAAGATCATGAATAGACAAAAGTCCCCTCAGTTCAGGTGAAAAGATGAAACACATTACATTGTTCAACATTGAAGAAAACAGAGGCTTGCTAACATTTGCCTGGTTTATTAGCCCGAACATGGTGTACTTTTAAGGTAGAATCTGACAGATGGATATGTGTGCACAGGAACACATGCTTGGGTATATGTAATTGACAGCATCTTGAAAATGACAGGTATGTGCCTATCAGCACACAAGCCAGGCCGTTTGGACAGCAAGGGTTCTCTAGGGGGAAGTCTCCAACATGACTCGGAAGCCGCTCTTTGCACCCTCCTTCAAATTATCAGACTGGGGATCATAAGTGCAAGAGGCTTGAAAAAGCCTGGATTTAAACTCTGGCTCCACCACTGACTGGGTGTGTGGCTTTGGACCATTTTTGTTCTTAACCTTCTGAAAGTTCAATTTTCTCAATATAACAGTAAGGAAAATAATGGTATATAATTCATAGACTTGTGGGGATTTCATAAAATCATATATGTGCTGAACTTTTCATGTTATCTGATACTTAGAAATATAAAGGCCAGGATCAAAAACACCAGGTAGACTTTCCTTTCTCCCACACCTAAGCCTTAATAGACTAGAAACTGAACAAGAGTGTGCTTTCTCCAATAACCATTGCTTTACACATTCCCACCCCAATGCTCAGAATCCAGAACTGTTCTAACAGTCCAAGGAACTCCTGTGACTGGGCTGTGCCTTGAGGCCAGGGCTGCTGATGAAAAGGGGGCTCCTGCTCTGCTGTGCCGGCCCCACATTGGTTTAACATGTCCAGGGGAAGTCCTTGCGGGCAGTGAAACCTTCTCAGACTTTTCAACAAGTTGTCAGTGCACAGCCCAAAAAACTAAACTGGCATCAAAGAGCCATGAAAAGTCAAAAAAACTCAAATTCAAAAGGACAGCTAAAGAGGAATTATAACATGTACACCTGGGTGAACTGGGGAAATTACATGAAATTAATGGGCCTTTGAATTAAATTTGGAACATTCTTGCTGCCCTATAATGTTCCTCCATGGAGACTGAAGCAAGAGAATAAGAGGCAGCCCTTCTCTGCTTTGTACCTCTTGGTCTTGCCCGCCCCCCCCACCGCCCACCTGTCTCACGCCAAAACCCAACTTCCGCCCCCAAGCACCACCGGAAGCCGTAATTGCTGCTCAGCCCCTTATCTGGCTCCCTGCTCTGCTGCACTGCTAATCAGTCTTCCTTGACTGGAAACTCAATAGCCCCTGCACAAAGTCTGCAATCTTGCTTTGAAGTTATTTGCATCCAGTCAGAAGAACCTTTTAGTTCTAGTTCTAAATTTAGTGTCCCCATGCTTTCAATCCCCTGATAAGCAGGGCAGCTGGATTCTACAGCAGTCACACTGGACCACCGTTCTCAGTCACATTAGGGAATCGATGCATAAAACTGACAGCGTGGTAAATCTGTTAATGGTGGGGAGGAACCGGAAGTAACCAGTACTAGTCAGTAAATTGTGATACAACGTGCAAAGCTAGGTTTTAAAGCACGTGAGACAAACGTACCTTATTCTGGTGTATTGCGGGCACTTTGGGGTTTAGCTACATTCCCATAGGGAAAGCATACTGTAATTTGGCTTGGATATATTCCAGAGATAAGGATGTAGCCATTCACCACCCCAATCCTAGTCCAACAGCCTACAGAAAAGCTTGATACAGCACAGGGGGCGGAGTGTCCTTCCTTCCGCTATTGGGAACCTGCCATTCCCCAATTCCACTTGCTGTGACAAAGACTATAGAGCAAAAGGGGAAAGGGTTTCAGTTCCAGTTTTCTCACTTACTCTTCATTTTGGTTAAGTAATATCTACCTCAAAAGTGTGGGGAACGAGGAAATGCAGTTATATGTATAAGGTGCCTAGCAGAGGACTGAACTAAAGAGAGACTCAGTACTGTTACTGCCTACCTATCCCTCTCTGCCTTCCCGCACATCACAACCTCTTCTTGCTAATTGCACCTCTTTACTCCGTGATGCTAAACAAATATATTCCCATTATCACAAGCAGCAGGTTTGGCTCTCTGCATCAGCCCTGTCCGCAGGCCCAGTAATGCACAGGCCAGCATCAGTATTTATCTCTGGGTGACACTTGTAATGGATGGCTGCTGCACTTCTTAATCCATTTATGTAATCCTTCTTGCTTTGCTTGCAGTTATTTGCAGGGCTTTAGCAGCAATAAAATGTTTCCTTTCCCATGACAGAGTTCACTCAATTTAAATCTGGATTGATTATAGTTAAAATGTATAACATCTTTACAAAGGAAGAAAAAAACAGCAATAAATTATGCACGTAATTATTTAGCCTTTCTTCAGCCCTCACAGTGTCCTGGGCTCAGCATGTAACAGTTGTGGAGAAACTCTTGCCCCTGAGAATCGAGGCATAGTTGCTCATGTGAAAAGGGACTCAGAGCAGGGCACCAATCCAATTGCCATTTCTTTCCTCGTTCAAGGCTTCCTGCAGCCATCTGGGCGCTCTTTGATCTGACTTCATGGGGTTAAGTGGACTCTTCACCCACTAGTGACTTCTTTTCTTTCAGTTTCTCTCAGATACATTCTACTGACAGCATCCTTAGCCTTTGACCTCTACCGCAAAGAGCACTCTTTATTGCTCCTCAAGCAGTTTTGGTTTACAACTAAGACAATTGTTGGAGCTAGAGTCCAGGGTCAGCCTGATGTTCTCTGCCTGACATTTGTGGGATTCCTCCTATGGGGGCCTCTGGTGACAAGGGAAAGGCGCTAGGAAATAGTGCGGAACCCGTGCAGACAGGGGACTTTCTCTAACTGCATTCTTCTGAGAACATAGTCATGCATATGCTCATCAGAGGATTTGGATGTCAAGTGGCTGGGTGACTAGATGGATTTTGGGACCACTAATTAAAATGTAATTTATATAATATAATAACATAAATGCAATTCCTATACATATTTAGGACTAAAATTTGAAAATTTCGAGCGATACTCCTTATTCATAGAAGTCTCAGTAAACATATCCCCTGAACAATCATTTATATAGATTAAAGGCCGAAAGAAAGAAATAAAAAAAGGCCTGTATTTTTTTTCTATTAATTTTTGACCCATTGACTTTTAAAGGAGAATATGCAGGAACAATGAAAGTTAATCAAAATAAATAGTAATAAACAGCATTAATTGAGTGTCATGCATACTAGAGTCAATCCTTCAAATATTGCTGTGAAACAGGTAGTTATACTATTTACATTTTGTAGATGAAGCAGAGGTTCAGTGTAGTTAAGTAACTTTCTAACTAAAAGGAGGCATAGCCATGATATGAGAGCAGCTGTTACTTTACTGCAGAGCCCAGGAATTTAACCACTAAGCTACACTGCCATCTAGGACCCAATGAACAAAATGTGCCTCATATTCACAACCCAAAAAAAATGCTATGTCCTTTAAGGTTTCAATTGACCTTTGAGTTAAAATGACTAAAACCTTTTCATTCTCACATTTTCTTGTAAAATTTCATCACCAGTTAAATATATTAGAACAATTGTCCCTAACGTGTCCCTGTTATGATTCAAATTATATTTAAGTAATATCAAGAAGAAATTTTTAAAGGTAATTATTTTAAATTATAGATCATTTCATTTTTTTTTAAACTCAGAAGTTTCTTTTGCATTAAAAAAAGTTACAAGGAAATTTCAGCCAATATAAAGATTTAGCCAAGTTTTTTAGTGTTTTTTGGTTTTTAGTTGTTGATGATTTTTTTTTTTTTTCTGAAGGGCAGACAGGATCAAAAGAAATATTAGACTTTCTATCACTGGTGTTTGGAGTAGTGATTGAAATCCCAAGGACATACTCAATCCTCGGGTTAAGATGGTCCTCAGGGAATCTTCCCACCCATTCCCCAAAAAACATGCTGAGTGTTTTTACTTAGAGTTGTGCATTGCTTACACACTGCGTGTGTTTCTTACAGTTGACCTGGACAGGCTCAACGATGATGTCAAGCGTTACAGTTGCACTCCCAGGAATTACTCGGTAAACTTAAGAGAGGAGCTGAAGCTGACCAACGCTGTCTTCTTTCCACGTTGTCTCCTTGTACAGCGCTGTGGAGGAAACTGTGGCTGTGGGACTGTCAACTGGAAGTCCTGCAAGTGCAATTCAGGGAAAACTGTGAAAAAGTATCACGAGGTATGTCATTCTCAAAGGTCTTTGTTGTAGTGCTGCATCTGGCAGTTTCAGCTGCAAAAGTCATGTAACCTACAGGGAGCTGGAAGACAGCACCATTGCATGCAACTGCTCAGGTTGTTCACTGCACAGGAACATCCAGCCAGGGGAATGACAGGGAGCTAAAACTATGCTTGCCCTGAATGCGTCAAGCTAAATGTACTGGGAAGGATCTAAGTCCATCCTGAAGAAGGGACTCCTTTTCTAATCCATGTAGGTTGACACGGCCTTGCTAGAATACATAGATAATCAAATGTATGATGAAGTAAGTTCACAATTTACTTGGCTTCCTTGTAGAAATATCACAGCATTTATTTACAGGGTATGACTGCAAAATCTAAGTTCCTTTAAGAAAATGCTGTCAAATTTTAATGCAATCAAATTATTAAAAAATTAAGCAAAGTAAAGATAGCAAGTGATTTGTCAGAAACTATACATCATTGTAGACTTTTTCATTTCATAAATATGGAAGTATTTTTCTTTTACAACTACTAATTTTTCTGAATACTACTGAGTGCTACCTGGGAAACGAGCTCTGAAATTACACAAAAATGATCAAAAAGAAATAAAAGAAATAAGAAAAACAAAAATTTAAGGAGAGAGCAGTAACCTTTAATAATAATTAAAATAACAAATACTCATGAGCATTTAGTATGTCCCAGATGCTATTGTAAGTAGTCATTAACTCAGCAGTTTCTCAAGACTGCTATAAAGGGGAAGGGGGATGCTTTTTTTATTTTTTCATAGGTGAGCAAACTGAGGCCTAAGAGGACCAGTGAGTTGACCAGTATGACATGGTTGATACATCACAGAACCAGGACCTACTCGTTGATCGACTGGTTCCACAGTCTATGTCCTTATTGCTAGTAACAAACGCTGTGTCCTTTCTTTTAAAATGTATAGCCTTTTATTTCGCCTTGAAGAACAGACTTAGGGGAGGTAGGGCTGCCCCTGACAGTGACAGCAGCGCTATTACTGCCTGACTGGGGGGCATATGTGGGTCCCTGAAATCTAGGGACGCAGTTTTCACACATGTGCAATGGGACTAAGAAAATATATCAGATAATCCCTTACAGGGTGGTTCTGGGCATCAAATAATACATTGCATATGAAGTGTGTTTGCGAAGATATGAAACATCAAACAGAAAATGCATAAAAATGTAACTAAACTCTGAAGTAAACCTTATTGTTAGGAATTGTTGTTAAGTTGCTTTTTATCAGTATCCACCAAAACAATAACAAGAAGCGATAGGGCTCCCTAAATAAAATCTCCAGCTTTGTAAAATTGTTTCGTTATCCTGAAAACAATAAAACATTTTTAAATTGAGAAGTAGCTCCTGAGTATAATGAAAATGGATACGTCATAACTGGTATTTTCCACTTGGGAAATGCAGGAAGCCGTGGGCCCCTGACCATGCTTACCTTACACAGGGGAAACATGCTATTTTAGACCTGCATAAAACACATTCTCTGAGTCACAAGAATTTCTTACTCCACCCCTACAGTTTTCAAAGGGAAAAAATAAGGTCCTTATATCCAGAAAATGTTACCATCTGTGTTCATCATGTTTTGTATTTGTATTGCCAGATGAACTCTAGATTGAACATTGCCCTTGCATTCAAGAACCTGAACTCTGTGATGTTTAGTTAGAACCTGAAGGTGAATGCAGAAAGCAATAATGAAGCTAGAGTTAAAATAATCTAGGAAGTGACAAGATCTCTACCGAGGCATAACTGTGAGAGAAAACAATCAACTTCAGTCTTTGGTGTATTTGGAGAGTGTTTTATTTTCCTCATGACTCTCTTGTCAGATGCAAGTTACAGCTTGATTTTTATAATTCTTTATTGCGGAAACAGCAGAGTTAAACATACACTCAGAAGGACCCTCGCCTCCCAGACAGGGTCCTTTTCTTAGTTCCTTTCTTGTCTCTGTACACAATAGCCGTTACCTGTAAATTCCTGTAAACAATTAGTCTCTAAGGGGAAGCCCTTGATCTCTTTGTTCAGTCACACAAACGGGTCTAAAATGTTGGCATCTTTTGAAACTGCTGTCTAAAGCATCTCTTTGAAATAGGTGTCATAATATTTTTATTTCTAGAAGTCTGAAGAGCTCTATACAAAATCACTCTGCCAAGTGTTGGACCAAGGGACAAGAAAGCACCAATCACTCGCTCAGTAACTGCATACCTGGAAAAACACGCCTGACATATTTCCCCTAAACTCCTAAAATACCCTTGAAGTATGTATGGCACAGTGATCACTCCACCGAGTGCCCTAAGGAAAAGAGCAGAAGGCTTGTCTCATTTCCAGAAACGGGGGCTGCTTGAGCTAGGTTCATTAGGGAGAAATCCTCGTTGTTTACTCTGTTAGTTCTGTGTCTGTACTCTTAACTCAGAGAAATGAAAATGCAGGTTCCTCAGCTCCTGGTTATAACTGATGAGATGTGGAATGAGTTTCTATGAGAGAGGAGCACACTTAAGGGTGACTAGAACTCATCCCATAAGCAGGCCTGTGTGACTCTCCACAAACACGTTAATGCTCAGCACGTAAGGAATAAAATTGAGAAATTATAAAGCTCCTAATGAAGCTAATGTCACTGCCTTTTTCACAGGTAGTGCTCTTTCTCCTGTAGGGGTTTCAGCATTCTTCACTGCGCAATGCAATGGTAGCATCTTTATTATTTTCCGTTCTCAGAAGTTTGTAGGAATTCTATTAAATATTTTTTTCTTTTACCTAACAACCATCCTATGCCTCTTGGAGTGGATAGGATATGAAAGATACCTTAGGTAGTGATTTTTAAATAGGTAAGTTTCCAGGAAACATATTATGTAGACAGAGGATGTTGTATATCAGTTCTCATCTTCCCTTGATAATGCATGAAGAAGGAATAGGCTATTCCCTAGAAATCTGGTGACCTCTTTCATCAATATTTACTGTTTTTCATCATTTGGACTCCTATGTCCATTCAGTCAATAGCTAAAAACTTGGGAAGCAGCAGAGAGACAAAGAGAGCAATTAATTTTCTTTGTCCTTTCTCTCATGATTTCATCACAAAGCTGATCTAACCCCCTACACTAGTGGAACTTCCTGCAGTAATGGGGTTGTTTCACATCTGCATGTCCAAGATGATAATCACTAGCAGCAGGTGGTTATGGGGCAGTGGAAATGTATGTAGTGCACATAAGAAACAATTTTTAATTTTATTTACCGTTAACTAACTTTAATGTAAATAACTACATATGGCTAACAGCAACCATATTGAACATACAAGCCTGTTTCTGACACATTTACAACATCTACAATCATTCTTGTCTCTGCCCAGAATTTAAAAATGACTTTAGAGGATTCTTTTTAAAGTAGAATTTTATATTAAAAAGTGCTTCCTATTGGTTTGAGTTAGAAATATTGACAGATATTTACAAATGAAACAAAAGATTAATTAAATGTTGAGTAATAAAATGTTGAGTTCCAGATTTGAGATAAAAGAATAGTACTCTTAGTTTTTACATGCTTTAACTATCTGTTATTAGTTTTGTTATTTAGCTAAATTTATAAATTGAGACCAAGAAGTCAGAAAAACATTTTTTTTTCAAAGTACCTACTCTATGTTAAAGGCAGTGAGATTTTTGGGTTATGATATGACAAACTAATAACAAAAATCTAGAAAATCTTCTTTATTTTTTTTTCTGAAACTATCATTTCCAGAGCTTATATAGAGCCCCCTGATTCTTTCTTTCTTTCTTTCCCTTTCTCCCTCTTTGAGTAAAATCAGGAGACAGCTTTTTCACGCTGTTTCTGTGTTTTCCTAGAGACAGGGCAATAGAGCAAAAAATTGTATGACTGAAAGAGAAAAGATGTGGATTCTGGTTCCAGCTATGCTGCATGGGAGGCACCCTAGGACCAACCAAGTAAAATCTCCCAGGGCCTTAGGTCTCCTCACTTTGAACCTTCAATTTTGAGTTCCCAGGCAGCCCTGAAATTGCATACCCATTTACTGCTGCCCTCTTCCCTAGCCCCCAGATCTCATCGTACTGAAATTGTGTAAGGAATATAAACAAATTGGTGTTTGAAAGTGCTAGGTAAATGCAAAAGAATAAAGATATGATCTGGAACAGTTAATGTTTACAGAAAAGGTAATTTATTCATCAGTAGTAACACCTGTGCTACTTATTGCCTGGGGATACTGTGTGAATAAAAACATCTGTAGGCTGTAAAGCAAAACAGATGTGAATGGGGTTTTCTGAGAACATTTTCTGGCTTTCCCAGTTTTGACTTCCTCGCCTCCCAAGTGAATGGGCTCCTTTGAAGTACTGCAAAACACACACACAATTCCTTCCCTTTCAGCTCTAGCTTCACATTAGGCCTTCCTGCCAAAGATTAGCAAACCTGTTCTGGAGTATCTATACCTCAGGTAAATGAAATCCACCTGTGTCATGAATGGTTCTCAGCACTAAGGCCATGCTCTGAAATTTGGTGCCCAGCTAGGCTTCCATTATATTTTCTGCAATTGGCAGGCTGGACATGTAGTCACTAATTCTCTAACACACTGTCAAAACCGTTTGACTTAGTTTTGTAAAGGAAAGGACCGCACCTAAATATACCCTATAATAATGCTAGGGGGCTCACAGAAAACTTCTATTAGAAGTAAATATCCACAGATGTCAAAATTGCATTTTCAAAATTCACGAGCATTTAATAAATCCTCACTGTAAGCCCAATCTTTGATCACCTCCAAACTTAATTTGTCAGCAAAATGTTACTGAGCTTTTTGTCATTTGAGTCTTTTTTTTTTAATTGAATGCTGTGTCTTATGACTTGGTATCAGTTCTTTCATTACAGGGCCCAGCCTCCGCGGTAACTATTGCATGCAAGCTGGGCAGTTACTCAGGGAGAAAATAATGTTATCCCTTCTGAAAGTATTTTTGCTTGTAGTCACTTGGATTTCAGAAAAATTGACTAACAGCC